TCGACTAAATTTTCTAGAAGAATCGAATGTCGGAATACCAATTCCTTAACCGATTGTTACCTAAAAAAGGCAATCGAAAGATCATTCGAGAGAGGGAGAGAAGAAGACAAGTCTCCGAGTTGTGCGGTGTGTGGAGAATGACAAATGAGACTCCTATTTATAGTAAATTTTGCCCTGGAACTTTGGGACGGCCGTCCGGGTTGGGATGGTCGTCCCAAACATGATTCTCGCGTTGTGCCAATGCTGGGACGGCCAGTCTGGGTTGGGATGGCCGTCCCAAATGCAGTTTTACTCACGTTGGGACCCCCTGGGGTTTGGGACGGCCGTCCCATATTCGGGACGCGCGTCCCAACTGCTTAATTTCAGTTGGGACGGTCGTCCCAACCCTGGGATGGTGGTCTCGACCTGTTTTGTCCAGCCTTTGTATTTTGGGACCCTGGGAAGCTTTCCTTGCCGTTTTCGGACGTGGATTGGTGCCGATATATGTCCGTTGAAGTTTTATCTTCGTATAGGAAGTCTTCTTTGGCCTTCATTTGACATGTTGGGCGTGCTTTATTTCTGTATAGGAAGTCTCCTTTGTCCTTTATCGTGTAGACGAGCGATCTTTGTGTTGGTTGCAGGAGGTTTCCTCGGTTTTGGGAAGCCGGATGAACTCCATCTTCGGGCGAAAGTTCTTCTAGCTTTTATTTTGAGAGGCCGGGCAAAATTAGGGGTCTACATGCATTCAGTGTAAACAAACCAGAAACAACTTCAGCAAATTCGTATCCCAGAAGACAGTGGAGAAGTTGGGACTGGTGCACATTGATATTTGCGGGCCAATTCAAGTTGAAACCCCTGGAGGTAGCAGATATTTTCTGACTTTTACAGATGATTTGACCAAAAAAATGTGGACATTGTTGCTCAGTAGGAAGAATGAAGCACTGGAAACATTTAAGAAGTTTAAGTGTCTTGTTGAAAGGCAAAGTGGGTTGTAGTTAAAGATACTCCGAAGTGATGGTGGGGGAGAATATACCTCACAAGAGTTTCGTGAGTTTTGTGAGAATACTAGAATTGTGCAGGAAGTCACACCCCCCTATACACCTCAGCATAATGGCACTGCTGAGAGGAGAAACAGAATACTACTTAACATGGTTAGGTGCATGCTGAAAAGTAAAAATCTACCAAGTTACTTGTGGGGTGAGGCAGTTATGACTGCCACTTATGTTTTGAATAGAGCTCCAACTAAAAGGCTAGATGGAGTAACCCTGAGGAGGCATGGAGTGGGATGAAACCAAATGTTGCTCACTTGAAGATATTTGGTTCTGTATGTTACAAGCATTGTCCTGATCAGTTGAGAAGAAAGTTGGATGATAAAGGTGTGCCACTAATCTTGATTGGTTATAACTCAACAGGAGGGTATAAACTGCTGGATCTTGAGAATAACAAAGTCTCGTACAGTAGAGACGTAATTGTTGATGAAGACTCAAGCTGGAACTGGGGGTCAGCATCAAACGAGACATCTCAGACCAGAATTATGTTGGATGTGGATTCTTCAGCAGGTGAACTAAGTGTTGAAAATCAGGTATCAATGAGAAGAGATGACAACCAGCCGATGAGAAGATCAACAAGAGTAGTGCAGAGACCAATACACTTGCAAGATTATGAAGTATTTTCAGATTTTACTGTAACTACTGAAGGCAATTTAATCCATTTTGCATTGATAGCTGAAGTTGAGCCACTCACATTCGAAGATGCAGTAGTTGATGAGAATTGGTGGAAGGTAATGAAGGAGGAGATTGCCTCTATTGAGAAGAATCAAACATGGGAATTAGTTGATGCTCCTAATGACAAAAGACCCATTACTTTGAAATGGGTTTATAAAGTCAAAGTAAATCCATAGGGGGAAGTGGTGCGGTACAAAGCCAGAGTTGTGGCCAAGGGTTTTCTACAGCAAGCTGGAGTAGATTATGGTGAAGTATTTGCACCAGTAGCCAGGATTGAGACAGTTCAAATGGTGGTATCAGTTGCAGTTCAAGCTGACTGGGTTCTGCATCAATTGGATATTAAATCAGCATTTCTAAATGGCCCTCTGGAGGAAGAAGTGTTTGTGGTACAGCCACAGGGTTTCGAAATTAAAGGTCAGGAGCATAAGGTGTATAAGCTTAAAAAAGCTTTGCATGGACTGAAGCAAGCTCCTAGAGCTTGGAATCAAAGAATAGATAAGTTTTTGAAGCAAATTGGGTTTGACAGATGCATATCTGAACATGGTCTGTATGTGAAGTGCTGGAATGGAGACATAAGAAGTGAGAAGTTGATAGTATGTCTATATGTGGATGATCTTCTGGTAACTGGAAGCAGTGCAGATCAG